ACCTGAAAAGGTGAGTAATAAAGTGAGCTTTGGGAAGCTCAGTAATACAATACTACCAGTTGATGCTACATGACATGCAGATAAATAAAAAGCCATATAATTTCCTTATTGAATCAGATGTATACCAATTTCTGGGATAATATGGGGTACCATTGGTAATTCATTGAGTATAAGCCATGAATCTCAATTCATAAGAAACATTTCATACTATCACGTTTTTATAAGGTCGAATAGGATGTCTAGTGTGTTCCAATCAAAACCAGTGAAAAGATATAAATCTTTTAAAATCATAGTTGAACCTCCAACCAAACTCCACTATGCAGTTCCCCATAATTATGTCCGTAGGGCTTACCATAAGCACATAACAAAAAAGAGCCAGCCTAAGGATATTCCTTTGGGCCTATAAGCCTACCCAAGGGTATCCTTAGATCCGTAGGGTTACCCTAAGCACACAGCAAAGGGAACTAACCTAAGGATATGCCTTGGAGCCTATGGGCCTATCCAAGGGTATCCTTAGATCCGTAGAGTTACCCTAAGCACACAGCAAAGGGAACCAACCTAAGGATATACCTTGGGGCCTATGGGCCTACCCAAGGGTATCCTTAGGTCCGTAAGGTCTTACCAGCTGGATCAGAGTAGTGCCTTCATACTTCGGAATCCTATCCATGTAAAAATCCAGTAGAAATCATTTTAGCCGTAAATCATAATACTTGGATCGTGATCTAGTAATATGTCACAACCGTGATAATGAAATAAATCATATAACCAATTTCCACCTGTACACCATAAGTAGTCAAATGATTAATCCAATGGAGTACCTTGGGCCTGAGAGCCTACCCAAGGATCCCCTTGGGTCCATAAGAAATTTCCAGCTTGATCAGAGCTGTACCTACAGTCTACCCATATAATATCCTAATAAAATAGTTCGAGTATAACCAGTTAATCATAGAACCATAGTTCATAAATCAGTAGTTTTCATGATTCCATAAATTAGGAAAAATTCATATTTTCGGTGAAAACCATAATCGAATATCATATACCATGTTGTCATGGTTCATAAATAGTAAATCAAAACTTTCGTTAAAACTCATTTCAAAACATATAAAACTGTCATGTAGTACATGTGGAAGACACTAGAGAATCTGAGTATTTTTCAGAGACACTTTGTAGTTATCAGTGTAGATAACATGAAATTTTTGCAATTTGATCAGATTACAGGAACGAGATCCTATTGGAGAGAATCGATTACTAACCAATCTAATCAGACATTTAAGGTTAATACTTTAGAATCCCACTATGTTTTCATGTGCATCAGGAAAGTGTTCAATAATGCGCGGAGTGATTTATGTTGTTAAAGGAGAAATGAAGATTCAGGATATTTACAATCCATGTTGATCGATCGGGTTATCGAACAATTCGAACTGAACAACTCTGAGAACTAATGCATGTTGACCCGTCAATTTGTTGCCTTTCCAGGGTATTCACTCCTTAATACTAACAATTCTTGTCCTTAAATCATCTTCGTAATCATCGCTGAATATATCTTCCAATGGTCTTTATTTCATTTTCATATTTCAACGATATCAGTAAATACTAACGTAATTGATTCGTGGTCCATGACCCATAAGGATAATTCATCATGTAAGTTCAACAGCATTTCCAGACTCATTCAAATCACTTATTTAATCCTCAGTCATTGAGGTTACTTATTTCATTCAGTAATCAAGTCTATCCCGATTACTTCAGAGTTTTCCAGAGTAATCCAGACGTTTCTAAATTTTGGATACCTATTGTACTTCCATTCAGTTCAATTTAGTCATTTCGGTATCCGTGGTTGATTTTGTCTCATGTATATCCACTTCTTAGTACAGAATGCGCTCTAGATTTGAGCTGAGCTAAGTACTTTCAGAATTATCATCGATCCAAACTTGAGAAGACGGACATGCATTCAAGTGATATCTATGCTATTCAAGTATTGACATAGCATTAGGGTTGATCTATTCACTTAAGTTATGTTCCATAACTTTTAAGGGTAGTACAACACCATGTTTATTTGGATTCCTTAATTAATCCAAGACATCTACTTAGTCTATGCCATAAGGGTATTTTCATAATTTTACCTAATCGGAGTATTCTCATAATTTATCATTTAAACCGTATTCGGTTCGAGTCCATCCATAATCAAACATGCATAATAGTCCAATCATATATATCCATGCATTTATCCATTATCAACATGTTCCATAAAGCATAAAGAAGTAGTAATGTATTACCTAGATTTTTGTGCCATACCGCTCGACCATTTAAATTCCATTTGAACATCCTCGATCTTGAAATCAACTTCCAATAATTCCTTGGATACATAACAACAGAAATTACATAAAAAAACGGAGCTTAATTTTGCAAAAATAGATCGAATCGGGTGAAAAATAGCTTATAGGGTTTGAATTTGGCGAAACATACTACAGAATCGAACTCAGGACGTCGAAAAACATAAAATATGTCTTTTTGAAAATTTTGGTCAAAGTCAACGGGTTTGATTGACGATTTCGAGGCTTTCGGGTTCGAATTTGGAAAAACGGACTTCGGATTCAAACTCAAGACGTCGAAAAACCTAAAATATGACTTTTCAAAAATTTTGACTTTTCGATCAAAGTCAACGGTCGGTCAACAGTCAACGGTCAATGAGTCGGGTTGGATCAAACCGGGTCAAACTGCCCCAACAGTTTTCGAAGCTCCCCCACGTGTAGGGGCAGCGCGTGGGGGCGCGTGAACAGTCCTACAGGGCCCGGGTCAAACTTACCAAGCTCGGTTCAAAATTTTGAAAGGTGGAGAGCTCTATTTCAACACATCGAAAACTTTGACTTCCTCACCTCCATCACGCGTCGGCGATGATGGAGGCGTGAAAGCCACCGGTGGACTCGGAACGATACAATGAACACGATGGTGTGGGAGGTGTCGAAAATGGGTGGCCGGATCGACGTGAATCGATGGAAAACCAACGGAGATTAAGTTAAAACCGACGATACTTTTGATTGAAATTTACAACGAACGACACTGATTCATGACGAGAGGTTTGAAGGGTTTTGTTCTTCGATCGACAACGAACACGATGGTGGTTTCGAATCGTTGAACGGTGGCCGAACAGTGAATAGATCAGAGCTCAAAGTAGTTGACCGATATGAGGAAAATAATCTGCAGAAACATACGGGAGAGGTTTATAATTATCTCCCAAAGAAAAATAGGTAAATTATGAGTTTAGCCACTGAATTTCTTACACTTTAGAAAATGGTCTACCAACTTTGCGATTTTACAATTTAATCATTAATTTCTTTCAAAAATATCACTTAAATTCAATACTTTATAATTTCTAAAAAATTAGCCCCTAAATTGGGGTGTTACACAATAACCAGAAGACTCCCATCCCTTTTCCAGGATCTCTCATCCGTTCAGGGTACCCAACGATTATTCCATCTTTCCATAGAAGAAAGATATATTAAAAGGATGAGAAGGTGAATCAATTAGTCTAGTTGTACTTGTCATGGTTTTCATTGTCGAAGGTCATTCAGTTGGCTAAGCCCTTGCCCTTTGACAGTATAGTGGAATTGCCAAAGGAGATTGATTCCGTTCTGAGCTTCTTTTCAGAGTTTCAAGATTTTTGAAGAGGTCTCGTTAATCGTTATTGACATTTTTTCTCCCAGATTCCTATCGTTCAAGGACTATCTTGGGAGCCAACCTGGAAGGTAGTGCCTAATGTAAGGATCCCTAAGGATGCCTAAGTCTCATTCAAAACCGATTAAGTCAGCTTTCTTAGTATAACTTATGAGCTTGCTGCTTATGGATCAATGCTGAGATTAGACAATGCACATGAAGCCTTCTTTTCGTCGGTAGTGCTATGGAGGAAGAGGGTACGTTTTAAACGTGTCAGTTTTATTCTCCCTAAACATGTATTAATTTTATCTGATGCACTTACTATTGATAAATCAGATAACAATATATAATAAAAAATTGAAAGTAAACGTAAGTCACTTCATTTAGGCCTAAAGTAAGAGAATTTTTTTGACAAGAAAGAAGTCATTAGTTTTATTAAAAATAAAAAATATCTAAATTATAATAACGATTTACAACTGCAACTGTAAACTAAACACATAATGAAGACATTTTTCTATAATCATTAAGACAATAAACTAACCACTTAAGATCACACAACGACCATATATAAGAAAAATGTTAAAAAAACCTAATCAAATAAACTCAAATAAAATATATATACAAATAGATTTGACCGCATCGACAAACAAACCACAAAAGGATCAAGCTATTGAAAGATTATCGAAAAATTGCAAATCAGAATCGAGCAACGTGAGAAAACTATCTACGAAAGTAAATCGCGTATCCAAATCCAATCCGAGGGTCTAAAGCAGGGAATATCAACATGATAACAAAAACGTCATCTTGATTAGTTGTGTCGAAGTCAAAGGATAAACGAAAATAACGACCAAACAATAAAAAATGTGCCATAAAGGTATAGAAAATGAGTGATTTAATTTCAGGCAACTTTGCATCAATATTTCTAATTTCATGTTCATGCATATCAATTATATTCTTTTATTTAAAATTGAAGTTTGCATGTCATTTGATTGAAGCATCACTCGTCAAAATATTACAATACTACTACGCAAAACTCTTGCTTATGCACTTCAATTATATTATGTATGATACAAAGACAAATATTTAACTGAAATTATAAGAACTACAATCAAATAAAATTAAAATTAGTATTTTTCCAATTATTATCATTAATTAAAAACTTTTTTTATTGGAAATAACAGTTAATGTAAAAATATGATAATCAAAGGTTGATGGTTCGAATTATCGGTCTGAATAGAAAAAATTGAGTTGGCAGAATTGTTTTATAATATACTCTAATAATATTTGATCTAAATTAATCATTCGAATAATACCAAAAAAAACACATCAAAAACAAACTTGGAATTTTCTATCAAAAAATGCAAACAAACTTGGAATTTCTCTGATCTATTCTAATTTACAATATTTTTGGGTTGATCTCATTATATCAAACTTGACAATTAAACATCACAACCTTGTACAAAATCCAATCACTCAAATCAAACCATTAATTTTAGCTAAAAAATAAAAAAAAATCAAGAAAAAAAGGAGGAAAGATTCAATCTTCAAACTCATCGTAAAAAAAAACTCACCAACTCCATTTTTGATGCTACGCAAAACATGTCAGGCTAGCTATTTACAGAGACATGACAATCTCTGCAATTCATGGTCACTAGCATCTGGTGCAGGCATCTGTTAAATTACACAAAAATAAGTAAACAATATTTTTCATGCAAATGCATTTTCAGACAATGGATGATTTTTGGGTAATTAGGGAGATAAAAGATGAAAATCAAAGTAGTTACCTTTATGGTGTTTGTAAGTAAAGCCTCAAGGAACGAGTTCTTCATCATGGCACCCTTGTTCATGTCCAGACAATGGATTCTTCATGGTGACTTTGTTTGTGACCTCGAACAACTGTTCTGTTTCTTCATCCGCGGCGCCGAAGTTTGGTTTTCCGGTAGCTGGCTCTGTATGTAAGCTTGCCTTTTCTTCAATGGCAGTAGCTTCTGAATGATCCTCTGTGTCATCTGGCATGAACTCATTAGGGAACTTCATCCTGTAAAACTCCAGCTCGGCTTCGAGATCATGAATCTCTCTCTCTTTCTCCGCAAGAAGGTCGTTTGTGTTTTCTAACGCTTCCATATCGTACTCGGCTTGTTCTTCCATCATTCTCAGGTGCTGCAAGGCTTCCATTTGCAGCGTCGCCTTCTCTTCCTGCAGTCGAGTAATCATGGCCATTGCTTGATTTGTAGCGACTGCGGACGCGTTTCTTTCTTCTTCCAATTCCTTGTACAAAGCGCTCAATAATTTCCTGTCGTGCTCGACCTGGCGTTTTAGCCGATCAACCACGCTTTCACCGTCGATTTCACTAACAATGCTTCCATCTATAGACAAACCAGACTCATTTCTCTCCAGTGAGACCCTCCTTTGAAGCATCTCTATTCCGTTAAATGCTGAAGAATCTGATGCTTTTAAATCATCACTATTTATAGATATCCTCGGATTAACAGAAATCTTAGGACTTGCAGCGATCCGAGGACTTGCATCGTTCATCAATTGATCCATTCCTCGAGAAGATAATTGTGACAATAAGACCTTTAGATCTTCACTAAGTCTCGAAGAATCTCTTCCAATCCATTGTTCAACAAGCAAACCAGATAATTGTCTTCCTTTACTACCTACAGCTAGCTTATAAGCATCGCTTAGGTCCAAGGAATTGAGTGCTTGGATGCTAGGGCCAGTAGTGACTCGATTTTCTTCCACCGTTGATTCGGGTACGGGAAGTGGCTGTTCTGTTGATACGTGGATATCTTCACACTTCGACTCAGATATCTTCTCAACTTCAACAGTTCCGATAACACCTATTGACAGAAAATATTAAATTAATGAAATAACCATGAAATGAAAGTTATTAAGGGTGTCACAGCAGCTGATAGAGAAATAGGATGGGTGTTTCTACAAAGTTCAACTTACTACTCTCTTTTGATTCTTCAACAGAAGATACAACATTTGATTGAGGAACATCGTCGATGATATTATGCTTGCTCTCCTTGGGTACTTCAATGGTATTGTGTTTGCTCTCCTTGGTTACTTCGACTAGAGTTTCATTGTCGATACGCTTGCTCTCCTTGGGTACTTCGACCAGAGTTTCATTGTCGATATGCTTGCTCTCCTTGGGTACTTCAACCAGAGTTTCATTGTTGATATGCTTGCTATCCTTGGGTACTTCGATCAGAGTTTTATTGTCGACCGGCAACGAAGGAAGAAAATCAAGGGAAGTAAGCTTACTCTCTTGAGACACATGAATAAGAACTTCACCAGGAGTTGGCAATGGAGAGTCCTTATCAAGGGCATCAAGATTCATTTCTATTGGCATATCGATAGGAGCTTCCCCGTCTTTTGACGATAAAGGGGCGTCATCAAGAGAATAAGCTTAGAAGAAGCAGATGGCTCGATTTTGCTACTGGCTTGCTCCCAATTAAGTTCCTCCAAGCCATGTTGTTTTGAATCAGTAGATTCCACTGATATAGTGTTAAGAGGCTCCTCAATGATGGTTGATTCCGGTTCTGGTTGTGAAATGAATACAGGACGCTTAAGTGCAGAAATGGGATCCATGAATTTCTCCGAAGGAAAACCGTCGGACAAAGTAAAAGTTTCAGACTCTGGCTGCATATGTTGATCAACAAGATCTCTTCCTAGATTATGAGTTTGGATAATCACATCATCTTCCTCCCCGCCAGCATTACTATTCGCTTCAGATTCCAAATCAGAAGCAATCTTAAGCTCCGAATATGATACATGAGATAAAGGATCGGGCCAGTTTTTTCTCTGAAGTGTATCTTCAACTGAAACAGACACATTGCCACTTCTGTCCTGCTCATACTTACCATGTTCAACGGAAACCGGTAAAGGTATATCAAATTCAGAAGCCGGAAACACAACCGATTGTGTTTGCATCGATGTTTTGGCATATCCTTTTGGCATCCATGGATCATTGCAACAAGAACAGCGCCTTTGAGTCAAATATCCAAGTTTATGATTCTCAAGTGAGGGATCCTCCTCTGGACGATAATCAAAATCTTCCCCCAACTTACCGACCAACAATCGGTAGGTTTCAGCATTAGACTTATTTGTTGTAGCAAATGAGAAAAGGCAACTTTCACAAATTCCTTGAACATCAACAAGCTTCTTATGAGAATGACAGTAAACCAAGGATGAAATCTCCAACTTATGATCATCGCATAAAAGATCCCAATAAAACTTCCGTTTTTCTTTCCCGAATATATGATCAAGCCTCGAGCACAGCACACATGGTGCTTGCAATTTACATTTATGAGCAAATTTTTTTATCAGGAATGAAACTATAGCATCAAAAAAGAGCATAAAAAGCAACAGCCATTCGAAAAAGGCTGACGATAAAGCCATACTAAACCGATGGGAGATTTTCTCCGAGTGAACAGATGAAGTTCCCGCTCTACCCATGTCCTAGAAGATTATGTAACTTCAGGACAAGATACTTAACTGCTTCAAATAAATCAAAGTCCAATACTCCCAGAATGAAATCAATAATCCAAGGCTAGATCAAACGCTGCCAATAAAAAATCGACAGATATAAGAGAAAATATTACATAAAAGGTAACATCCTCCTAACACCGAACTAGCTAAAATTCAACAGCAATGAAGAGCCAAAAGTTCTTGAAATGAAAAATACAAGCAAATCTTTCAGCTAAGTGAAACAAATTGATTGCAACTTAGATGCCAAAGGACACACATGTGGAGACATACATCTATGACATAAAATTCTCTGCAACAACATCATGCATGATGTTTCTGTTCCGTTTATTAAAAATACTCGAAATCGATTCTGTCCCGTTGATCAAAATTCAACAGCAATGAAGAGCCAAAAGTTCTTGAAATGAACAAGATACAGGCAAATCTTTCAGCTAAGTGAAACAAAGTGATTGCAACTTAGATGCCAAAGGACACACTAGTGGAGACATACATCTATAATATAAAATTCTCTGCAACAACATCATGCATGATGTTTCTGTGCCGTTTATTAAAAATACTCGAAACCGATTCTCTTAGAAGATCTATGCATTCGAGTTAGTGGATGAACACAATTCCAGAACAGGATAAATAGTCATAATTTCCACAAACAAATCTCAAAGACAAATTAATGAAGTAAACTCTTATGTCAAGCACAAGAAAAGAGGATTTCTCATAACAAATAAAAGATTCTAATACCCATACATAAAAGCTTAAATCAGAATCACAAGATGAACTAATCAAAATTCATTACCAGCAAGACTAGCAGCTCAATCAAACTTGATCATACTGAGATCATTCAAGAACAAAAACAGAATTACATAGATATGCAGGTCAAACTATATTTCCAAGGCAAAAAAGAGAGAGAAAGCTGACCAGATTATGTGAGAAACTCAGGGAAGAAAACCCGGAAAAGATCATTGAAAATTCAGAGGAAAATCGTCTGATCGAAGTGACCCGTCTTCAAATTCTTTACAATAAATGAAAATCATCACACACTTACTGAAACGAAAGAAAACAAAAGTTGAAGTAGTTTATTATATATGAGAACAGATAGAAGAGGTAACAACAAAGTGTGCACGTTGTTTTCACGTTTTTTTTTTTGTATTCTTTTAAAGAAAATTAGAAGAAAAAAATAAGCAGCCGACAAAGACCACACCCACTCAAAGTCGGCTGCTGATTCATAAAATGCTAAAAGCCGAAAGTAAAGGGAAGACCCCAGAAAGAATTCACTGTCAAAATCCCAAAACAAAAGGTTCATTTTTTATTAATAAACCCAAAAGACTAAAGGAAAAAATGAAAAAGAAAATTTTCTCTTCATTGTTAAGTTATGGTCATTGGCTATGGAGGATCAATGGAAAAAGGGTTGCTGTAAATCTTTGGCTGAAATAAAAATGGCTACTTTTTAGTGGTGATGATGATTGCTGCGAGTTGGTCGGTGAAGAAATTTAGTGACCGGCCAATGGCGGAAAGCGCTGAAGGAGAGACCGACCAATGACGATAAGCTTACAAAGATAGGAAAGTCGGTTTTTCCCTTTGATTTGACAGTTAAACCAACTGAAATATGAATGTTTTTAGAAAACAAACCCCCCCCCAAATTGACAGAAAATCGCAAAACCGTGTTGACTCCGCTATGGAATGGACGAGTCTTCCATGGAGTTATTCAACAAGGCCAAATTAGCCCATGGCAACCTCAAACATTTAATTTAGAATCTAACTATTTCTTAGGATATAATTTTTTTAATGGACCGTATCAAGTGGTCCTATAGCCTGATTTAAAAAAAATCTTAAGAGATTGTCACATCGGCGTGATGAGTCCCAATAAAAAAATATGTTATTCCCATGGAACTCATCACGCTCCAACGGGTATAATTTTTAAATTTTTAATCGTTGGATTGACCGTTGTTAAATGTTCAAATTTTTTTAATTTCAATGAAACTCGTCACACCGGCATGACGAGTTCCAACGAGAAAAAATATGTCTTCCCTTTAAGTTGTGCACATCATCTTCAATCTCTTACTTTAGAGACTCCTTTGATCTTCAATCTCTTATGCAAAAAACTCCTTTCATCTAAGCAAAAACATTTCAAACAATGAGCAACAAATTTTTCATATTTGTCCACTATAATGGTGAAATTTTACAAACTGATGTTGGTGTTGTGTTTAAGTCAGACATGCCGATCAATATGATGTTCTATGTAGATGTATCGCATCGCCAAATGAAGCAAAAAATTGAGAGAAAAGTTGGAGCTTCTGTTTCATGTTTAAGTTATCGACATCTGATCTCCTCAAATCCAATGACTTATGGAAAAGTTCAGCTTGATGATGACGACGATGTTGCTGTTATGGTTGGACTTCATCAATCATCAGATAATAATATGGTGGAGATGTACGTCGAAACGACGAATGCAACTGATATTTCGACGTCATCAGTGCCAGCTCGAAGAACAGAAAAAGCATGATCCTCTAAACCACATGGAAGTTATGGTGATGAGAACCTTGTTGGACGGTTCGGTGAATGCCTTGCTGAATTTAGCAAGGATAATGAAAACATTGTTTCGTTGGTAGACGATGACGACACAACATTAGTTGATGAGTCTGATATTGTTGAGGTTGCTTCAGAGGTACAAGGTTTGGATGTTGAGGCGGATATATGGAAGGCAGTTGTTTCACGATGTAAAGGATTGCAGAATGCTCCAAATGTTTGGGCAATGAAAGACCCTGAATGAATTCAATCAACATAATTTGCATCTGTATCATCATGTAGTTGTAATACATGACATTAACTACGATGCTATGTGGAATCCTGAAATATTTGATATGCCAGATTTATGTGTTGTCCACTGGGGTTCTTTAGACGAGCGGTCATCTGAGTTGGCTATTGGGTCTCAATTTGAAACAAAAAAATAGGCACAACTAGCAATCAAGGAGTATTGTATCAAAGCTCATCTTCAATTCTATGTCGCGGAGTCGGATAAAAAACTTATTTCGTAAGGTGTATAAACCATGATGTTGGTTGTAAATGGAGGATATAAGTATCATACCTACAACAGAATATGTTGTGGGAAGTCACAAGGTTCAATGCAGAGCACACATATACAATGACCTCCTTGACATAAACCACATACATTTAGATTCAGATGTCATATGCTCTTATGTGAAGCTGTTGTTGGAAAAAAATCCAAGAGTGTTCATTTTGTGTTAGTGACATCCATTCGAAATACATTTGGTTATATTCTAACTTATTACAAGGCATGGATGGCTAAACGGAAATAAGTGACCTTGTTGTATGGATGGCTACCACGTCTGCTGCAAGCAATAAACTTTTTCATCCCTCGAACCATTGTTAGGTACTATACTCATCCTACAGTCACGCTTGAGGGAGACATTATCCCCGAGAAGAGAATTTTTGGTTGCTTGTTCTGGGCGTTTAAGCCAGCTATCGAAGAGTTTAGATTTTGCAAACAAATGATTCAAGTCGATGACACTTTTCTGTATGGGCTTTACAAACACGTCTTGATGAAAGCTGTTGAAAACATTTTGATATTTCGATATAATAAATTAAGTTAAATGAATTTTAAGATTTTACAAATGATTTTCTAAGGTATATTCGAATTAATTAATCGGATATCAAATTATTACTCCAAGTCTTTCAAGATCGATTTTAATCCTTACTAAATGTGTAAAATTGTGATTTGTACTTAAACTATTTTTGAAACAATTTTCACAAAGTATTTTAAACCAAAATCAAGCCTTAAATCAATTTTTTAAAGGCATGCACCGATGCATCAATCCATACATCGATGCACCATTGAATAAATTGAACATCGAATGCATTTCATGCATCGATGCACTCTCTATGCATCGATGCACTCTCTATGCATCGATGCACCTGAATTTTATTAAAACATCGAATGCATTTCATGTATCGGTGCACAAGCAATGCACCGATGCACTTAGGCTATTTTCAAACATAGAATGCATTTTATGAATCGATGCACACTTGGTTAACCGATGCACTAAGTGTTCCAATGGTCAAAATATTTGAATTTTACACTGATGCACTATGGTTATGCATCGATGCACCGACGCTCCCAACCAGTTTTATTAATTATTTTCACACAATAACGACTCTATTGACTCCACTAATCATCCCCAACATTCAGAAGTGATTCAAGGTGTATTTAAATAAGCTTAGAAGCCATTGATCAAAAACAAGAAACATCAAGCAACTAGAATCAAGAGAGAACCAAAGAGAAAGCATCAAACCTCAAGTTTGAGCATTTCAAGCCTATTTTTCATTCAATATTCATTTTGCTTTCAAGAACACTTATTGTGCTCAATTATATTTATTCTTGAGTGTTCTTTCTTTGTTCTAGAATTGTGCAAACATCTTACCTTGTGAGGTTTTTCTTGTAGGTTTGCGAAATTTGTAATCTTCTCTTTGAGAAAGAGTGTTCTCAAGAATTGGGTATAATTCTTGAGGGAGTTGTAAGGTTATCTCTTTGGCCTCAAAAGAAAGAACAAATTAGTGAATTTGTTGGAAAATCCTTAGTTTGGATAGCTTAGGTAGTGGACGTAGACTTTGTTGAGAAAGTTGAACCACTGTAAATCGTTGTGCAATTACTTTCAATTTTCTACAAAAGCTTCCACCAAAATTTTAATTGCCAATTCACCCCCCTCTTGGCTGATTTCATCGATCGATTAACTCAATAATTGGTATCAGAGCCTCACTCATTTAAAGGTTTAATCGCCTCTTGAGTCGATTTGGGAAGAGTTACATCGATTATCAAGTCATCAATGGCCTCCGCTTCAAATTACGACTCCAGTCTCGATACGATCCCCGTCAACAAGCCTCCTTTCTTCAATGGAGCTAACTATGCCTATTGGAAAAATAGGATGATGTACTTCATTCAAGCAAGTGACATGGGAGCATGGAATGCCGTAGAAGAATGATACATCAAGCCTCTCACTCATCCAAGAATGTGGAGTGAATGAGAGACAAGAATGTTCCAGCTCAACTCCAAAGCCATCCATATCATATTTTCTGCTCTTGGACCAGATGAATACGGAAGAGTTTCATCTTGTATAACCGCCAAAAAAATATGGGACAAACTTCAAGTCACTCATGAAGGTATCGATGATGTAAAGAAATCTAAAATTAGTATTCTAACGCATAACTATGAAAATTTCAGGATGAAACCAAATGAAGATATCAAAGCTATGACGGATAGATTTTCAACAATTGTCAATGGTCTCAAATCATATGAGAGATCATTTCAAATGAAAAGCTTGTGAGGAAGTTAGTCTACTCTCTTCTAAAATCGTGGCAATCATCGAGTCTAAGGACCTAACGTCCTTAACTCTTGAAGAACTAATCGGTTCCCTTCTCACTCATGAAATGATGCTTGAAGATGAAGTGGACCTCGATAAAATTGACGAGACACCAAAGGAGAAGAAGAAAAACATTGGAGTTGCTCTCAAATCCACAAAAGATGAGAGTGATTCGAATGACGATGATGATGACGAGGAAATTACATTATTTGCCAAACGATTCAGAAAGTTGATGATGCCCAACCGAGGAAGAAAATTCAAACGTCATGAAGGCTTCAAAACGGAATCGAATTAGAAAGAGCCGATCATTTTCTATGAATGCAAAAAGTCGGGGCATGTCAAATATGATTGCCCACAATTGAAGAAAATGGTCAATCCAAAAAGAAGCACAAGGCTCATGTAGCTATGGAGCGATGAAGAAGGTTCCGATGAAGAGGAACAAGAAGTTGCAAACTTGTGCTTGATGGCTATCGGGGAAGATTCTAAGGTAACCTCTAACTCATTCGATTTGGATGATTATCTTATGATGTGTTATTAGAGGATTATAATGGATTGGCTTCGGATTATAAGACTCTATTTTCAAAATACAAAAATGATATTTCAAAATTGAAAAACAAAAATAGTCTTATATCCAAGACCAACAATGAGCTTGAAAGTAAGATCAAAGAATTGC